TTTATATCATTTTACTATTTTAAAAATATATAAAATATTAATTAAAATAATTATATATATAATATATTTTATATATTTTTAACATGTTAAAAAACCAAAAAGCCTAAAACTACCGTTTCAGACAATGTTGTTAAAATAAGTCTAAAAAAATAGTAGAATACCCAATGATAGAAAATTTTAGAAATTTGGCAAAATTTAAAGTGTATTCCACGAAACAAAAAAAGAAAAAAAGAAAAAAAGAAAAAAAGAAAAAAAGAAAAAAAGAAAAGAAAAGAAATAGAAAAGTTTAAATTCATATATATAAGAAAATTTTATCTAATCATATGTCTAAATGACGTGCTCTAGTGCCAATCCTAACAACCTAATTGAATATGTTTATGTGCACATTTTGATATAGTTTTTTAGTCTTTTATAGGTTTAGAGAATGAAGTTTAAAAGTTCTAACTATTATAAATATTTTATTTAGATTTAATACTAAAATTTAAATATAATAAAAATAAATAATATTTTAATAAATAATTATTGAATGTAAAATGTTTTATATTTATGTTAAAGTTTAATTGAGTTTTTACATGAAGAAGAAAAAAAAAGCACATTTTTTTATTTAATATACATACAACGAAAAATAATAATGAAAATACATTTTACTCCCCATAAATGCATCTCTTTCGTTCATTTTTTTTGAAAGCAATTGTTAAATATTATATTATATTATATATATATATGTATACCTTATTTAATACAAAAAGTAATATTTTATATAGATAAATAAATATAGATATAGATCTCAATTAATGCATTGAATAGTATTATATATATATAGATATAGATATAGATTTGGGGTATTGATTAGAAACTTAGAATATTTAATATTATTGGCCTTCCTCAGTTCTTCGCGGAAAATGAAAATTCTTTTCCAAAAAAACGTTCGCCCTTTATCAGGACTCATTCGTAGGGAAGGTTGCAGACTTCACATCTAGTTGGTTTTCCTATTTGTCAGTCCATTTGTTAACCATTGTGTGCAGTTGCTTTCGCTTTCATTTACCCATTCAACCATTCTAGACATTTGAAGATCCTCGCAATTTTGTTTAGAAACACTATGACAAAAAAA